GGTTCATACATGCGTATACACACACTGTGTTAGATTTGTGACGATTTTTTTCATGTAGGTTGATGAAAGTCAATCTAATGAAAATTGTGGTCATACAAGTCCAGTTGTTTGCTTTCTGAGGGTTCTTGTATTGTTCCAAATGATACAGACAAGGTTAATAGAATATAGAAATATGTAGAAGTTAGTATAGAGATATCTTTTCCAATTCCTTTATACATCTGCCTATTACTGTACCTTTTTATTTCTAATAGAACTGGTGCTTAAAATTAGAATACAAAACCCTAATCTTAGAGAAAATGACTTCATTGAAATTGAACTGGACAGACAAGAACTGACCTATAAGGAACTGCTCCGAGTGAGTTGCCGTGAGCTGGGTGTTAACCCTGAGCATGTACAGAAGATCAGAAAATTACCAAACACAATGTTAAGAAAGGTAAGAACTCTAAATTTGGAAGTGCAGTAACTTATAAAAAAGATTTTTAGGTTGCCATTAAAAAAGAATAATGGTCACCTGCATAAGCCCATCTTAAAAAAACAAACAAACAAACAAACAAAAAAACCAAACCCAAACACCATGCCCTCCCCCCACCCAAAACCTCACTTCCATTTTCAGCACTCAGTAGGTGTTGGGTTTTTTTTTTTAGTAAAAAGAATCTCAAGTTTCTTGATCATTTCCTTTCATAAACATTTGGTGTTGAGCCCAATTAATATCTGATTTCTCTACTACATTCTTAAATTCAGTGTAATACCATACCACTGTGACCTGTCATCAGCATTTAAAAGGCCTGCAGTACTGAACTGAGTTTTGCTAGTTCAGTAAGGACTGTATGCAGTCCTTTCAAAAAAAACAGAAAGGTGTTTCAGAATTATTCTGAGGGCAGGTCTCCGAGTGCAACTGTCTTTTCACTTCAGTGACGCTTACCTGTGCGGCAAACAGAAAATGGACCTGCTGACCAGTTTTACTGATTCACCGTTGACCTTTCTTTCACTCTCAAATCCCTCTAGAGCATTGTTGGCATCAGTCGTGGAGCTAATCTGATTAGGACTAGGTTAATAGACTTCACTGTATTGCATCTTCACTGACTATAAGATGACTTATTCTTTGTTAGTCAGGAAGCGAAAAAAAAATACATAAGCAATCCTGTCACTTTCCAACTTAGGTTATTGTTGAAAGGAGTTTTTTCATTTCCAGCTCTAATTACTTCAGGCTGTCTGGGTAGGACTGCAGGATGCTTACTGTTCCTTGAGGTGATACAAAACTAATTTTGTTTAACAGCGTTTAGCAGCGGAGTACTGCTGCAGAGGGGATCAGAGCTCGAGCCTGTACTGTGGGAGGGTGTCTGGCATTGCTCTCTAAAGACCCTGCCTAAGCCAGTGCTACGATGGCGTTGGTGGGCCGCTCTAGAGGAAGCTGCATGCAGGACCTTCTTGGGTAGAGGCAAGAATCAATTCATGAGTTTCTAAGAATTGCCAAGGGGGGAAAAAAGAGGAGTTGGAGGTGGCATGCAGTAAATCTTTACAAGTGTAATTCCACTAATCACTTGCACTCACCGTCAGTATCGCATTCCTTCTAAAAATAGACTTAAGTGAGTAGCTGCATAGGATCCCAGAATAAAGACAAGGTGCAACAGGATGTCTGCTTTCCAGTTTGCTGTAAAGAATTGTCATATTTATGCATAAATACATACCTTGTGTTAGTATGAGTCTCTTATTTTAACCTACCTCTGCAAAACTGAACGATGGTTTATCACCTAACAACTTATTGTATTTATTTAAAGGACAAAGATGTTGCAAGGCTACAGGATTTCCAAGAACTGGAGCTTGTTCTAACAGTAAGCGACAAAAACTTACTTTTCAGAGCCCCAACACTTTCTGAACGGAGTGGTTATAACAAGAAGGCATCAGAACTGACATATTAATTGTTTAAAGAATAAAACAAAAGATTTGTATCTCTCATTTTAAAATTATGTTTGAAATACAGTACCTATAAGGGCTAATGATGTGGAAAAAAAAAAAATCTATTTTGTTAACCTTGAAATAAACTAAAGATGTTACGCACAGTTACAGCCTCTAGTTAATCTAAGAGTAATGAATCTGATATGAAAGTAGCTTAATGCAAAGGAAGTATTGGTAGAAATATCTGTTAATGCAACACTTTTCCTCACAAAAATCTTGAAATGCTGTAGAGTTAGCGGCTCTCAGGGAAAGGCTTACCTTAAACTGTTCTAATAATTTGTTTGCTATAAAGTAGCAGAGGTACTCAAGCTAAAGAACCTGCCATGAAACCCACTTAATACTTGTACTGAATCCATTACCATTAACGTTCACTTCTTAGATCATGTATTTTAAGTCGTATCTTATTTAGAAGTTAAAAACCAGAAGGGTTTAAATCTGTGGAAGAAGCACAAAACTATGTCTAGTTTAAATACTGTCAAGTGACTTATTACCTGTGATTTCTTAATCCCTGTTTACACTCTTCCCTATTTCTCAGGTTAAAAACAAAAAGTGATAGTAATTACCTAAATCACAAACATGCTCTCAACCAAAATCCCTTTTATTGTGGTCTGTCAATAGATAGTATTGACATGTGCAATTTAAAATATTATTTTTGTTACTGTATTGAAAACGCTTTTCTCCAATGCTGCTTTAATTTCCACTTTGAAGAGCACAAAAATTGTAATTTTATTTTCCTTTTACCTCTACATTCCTGAGAAAGATCACATCTTGACACTTCAAAGTTGCCTGTGTAAAAAGAAACTAGTGAAATGCCCAGGGTTTTCTGGGCTGATATTAAATCTTGATGTTCCTATGCAATGTATTTTCTTTTTTTTCCAGTGACTTGTGTTTACTCGCATTGCTTACTGAAAAATCACTTTTCCTGTTCCTGTTACTTAAAATTCAGAATTAGACTACTTTGGTATAAAATTCTGGAATAAATAAATTGGAAAGTATTTAAGACCTGGATTTTATCTAATGTTTTAGGATTTTAGTATTTACTCAGTCATCTGCATTTGAGGAAGAGTTTATTCTGGTAGCTAACTGTAAAAGTATGTAGTACAAATGAGATGAACGAACTAACGTACGAGATGTAACAGGCAAACAGAACATACCAAACTGGACTGAATTCCCCACTTTTTCTTTGCCTTCCCCCTTCCTTCCCCCCAGTTTCTTTGGAAACTAGAGCAACCAAAGTATTTTATGGTCTTCTTGTATAAGAATTTACAGCCCAAGTTAGCTGTACATTGTATGTGGGCTTGTAAATGGGCTTTACATGGGATTTATATGGGAGCCACCCCAACCAGCTGAGGAAGTGCTGAGGTGAGAACTGCATCATATCTTCTTACCACTCCAAATGACTTCAGGTATCCACCACAGCCTTGTCTCCTTTCTGGGAGGCTGTGGCAGGTAAAGAAGTTCGTTCTTCCCCTGCAGTCAGCGCAGTCACCTGTATTACAGCTAATACAATAGGAACTGGTACCCAAATTTACCCGTGCTCTCTCTTTCTCACCCAGTGAAAAATAAGTACTTTGTGCAAAGGTAGGAGTGACTGAGCACACAAGGGACAGCCCTCTCCCAATCTGCCTTGTAGTCCGATGTCCAGTGTTAACCTGGAAGCACAGATCCATGCAAACACCCGAATTTCCTGTGCGCCAACTAGACTGAAGCTCAGTCTCCTAAGGCTAACAGTAGAACACTTTGTCCCAGCAAAATGACCTCTTCTGAAAAGTGGTGGAGGTCAAATGTGGTCTGAGTCACTGGCAATATCTTATTTTTTACACCAAATTGCTGGTGATGTATTCTGCATAATGGCGTAATAGAATTGTTGTTCCTCGTATTGCACTGTCTGCTGCATTCTCCCTGGCACGCAGAACAGCTAGGGACTAGGCCTTGGCTGTCTAAATGCCAGCTAAATCCATGCAGGTACCAGGATGAACCAGCCAGACCTACTAGAGAAAAGCTCAGCTGTTGGATTGGTGACTTCGTTGTTACACCGATTATCTTGCACAGATGCCGATCGCTATCTATGCATTCAGAGGAATATTTTTCTACCTTATGCAGTTTATACATAGAGGATACTATTGACACTCCTAACAATCTGATCAGAGTATAATCATTACATTACTGTGTATGATAAATAATTCATTACTTTGTGCTCTGCTATATGAAATGTTAATGTCAAATGAATGCTTGGCTGCAGATTCTTGTTTCTATTTAAGAAGTATTATTTGTAAGAATTAATAAATTATTATTTTGGTCTTCTCAACGTTTTTCTGAACTTTCCTTATGGAAAAACATAGGAACTTTTTCTTGCCGGCTGGGTTTCTAGAGTGCTTGGTGGAGGAAGTGAACAACTAAAGCAAAAGACATTCTGTCAGATTCTAGCAGCAAATTTTGTTTAAACACAGTACTCCCTTTATCTGAGGAGGCTTGGTTATCAATAACAAGGTAGATATTTATTTCTGCAAAAGAAAATAACCTGAAATAATATGTGATAAGTGTTAAATAAGATAAATCATATACACATGTGCTCAGCATGCACGTTCAGCGCTAAGTGGAGACTTACTCATAGTGGCTTCATACATAAGAGAGCTATAGCAAAATTAGAATACTTCTGTGCCAATCATGTCCCTGCAGGCTTATGTGGAGTCTACTAAATTGGTAGAAATTGTGTAGTTAATGATTTATATTAAGCCATCTGGAGGTTTAGTTTTAAATACATGTTACTCTTAATTCTTATGCCGAAGAGGAATTTTGTAATGCTAATGTTGCCCTGGGCAGGGATACCAAAGGTCCTGGAAGAGCTCACAGCCTTGAAGCCATAGCATTCAACTCCCTTGTCCTGGGGGAAGTATTGAAAGGAACTGGTTGGGGCCACTCAAGAGATTACATGTAATTTTACTGTTTTTCAGCTGAGTCACTGCTTAACTGGGCCTGTCTTTCCACTTCAAAACCAATGAGTCCTTATGCAGAAAACACACAAACCAGGTGTATTTTGTACTATTAATATAATTTACTAATTATAAACCTGAATACAGTACATATTGCCCTGTGATACATACATTTTCTTGGCAGAATGTTTGGCATTCTTTGGGGAAAAAAGCATATAGTAAAATACTTTATGTATATAGAAAATATTTAAAAATAAAAAATTCACTTTCTGGTCCTTATAATTGTAAAGTACTTTGTTCACGTATCACAAGCTTAGTCTACTACAAAAACTGTTTTGTAAATCACAGTACATTCACAAGTCACTTTTGTGGCAAGTCAGTGATATTAAAAAAAAAACCCCAAACCAAAAACCCAAGGGGTTGTCTTTTCATGCTAGTCCAGCGTCTTTGGCCATACTGTAGAAAATACCCTTTGATGCTATAAGGCTTGCAGGTGTATCGAATTCAGCTATGGTTCCGTTGTCTAGAACAAGAACCCTGTGCAAAACAAAAGGTGGTGGTGGTGGGGGGAAAGATATGTCAGAGAATTCCTCGCAAGAAATGTGATATCCTTTTTTATCACAAAGCAAACTGCTCTAATCTTTGCCTTGCCATTGTTTTGCTCAATTATTTTCACACGTTGAAACACAACAGATGATAAACATTCTCCCTGAGCTGCTGTTTGATTTAAAAAGGTACAGGACAGTCACTATCTCCCAGGGGTAATAAGCAGGGACACGGGGACACACACACACACACACACGTCATACTGGTAGTTCTGGAATTGAAAATACAGTACCAGAAAGCCAAGGAGATAAAAGCTTATGAAGTGTAGTAATATATTTTAAAGTAATTAATATGACATGATGTTAGTGAAAAAGTTGCAGCAGCTGCTAGTTTAAAAAGGATCTATAAGCTTGCAGACAGAGCCATGAATGCAACTGGGTAGTATCTCTTATGCAGCTCTGCTTAGTGAATATAGAGCCTGTTTCTTACGCCAACAGAGGCAAAGTTGAGTCTGGATATTCTAGGATTATATGGCTTAAACATCATTGCTTACATACTACCTGACAAGAGCATCAGTGTGACTATCTAGAGACAAACCAGACCCTTTTAAGTGCTGCTTCACATACCCAGTAAACCGGTGAGCCCCTCCACCGCGCACCATTAAGAGATTTTTACCTTGTGTAATCCATAATTGTGTTCAGCCTGTGCGCTATTGTCAGCACTGTGCAGTCTTCAAACTGGGTCCTAATTGTCATCTGGATAAGATCATCCGTCTCAAGATCGATAGCTGCTGTCGCTTCGTCTAGGATCAAGATTCTTGTCTTGCGAAGCAGCGCTCTTGCCAGACAGACGAGTTGCCTTTGGCCAACACTGCAAGCAGAGACAGGGCTTTCAGAAACGAGGCCCCGCTGCCCTTAGCTCTCCACTGCTCAGAATCACTTGTGCTAGAGCAGATAACTCATCAGGTAAAGTTACCACACACACACGAAAAAAAAGAGTACTTACCAAACAGCCCAGCCTGTCCGCCCCAGAGCTAATAAATACACATTGCAGCATTACTCAGCTAGTTTTAGCATATGTGTTCGCTTACTGCCTGACGCAGTACTGACAGAGCCACCAAATGCCCCCTTTCTATTACTGTGCCAAAAGCCAGGGGAACTAATGATTACAATGTTTCTGCCAGAGTTTTCAGAAACACACACAGTTGCAGCAACACTGAGCATATGCAAACTTCTTAAAAAAAAAAAAACTAGAAAAAAGAAAAAAGATCTGAGGCTGTAAGTCCTTTCTACCATTAAAAAAAAAAAAAAAAATCTGGGCAGCCCACACCTCCTCCCCTGCCACAACAGCATCCCAGACACAGCCTCTGTCTCTGGGGGATGAGGAAGGAGCTGAACATTCATCACATGCATAATCTGGTTACACCACAGCCTCAGAAGCCAACGCAGCACATCGAAGCATGGCATTTTATCTTCATGGGTCTTCCAAATAATAATGGAAAATAAAGATTGCTAAAGTGTCAGTTTAGGCAGAGGACTCTTAACTCAGCACAGCAGTTATATATGTTATCATGGCATTTCCCTTCCTACCAAACCATGTTTAAGGGACTGCCTATTCTTAACACCCTGTCATCCTGAGGCTTCTTTCTTTACTGATAAGACAGGATTTTGGTTTGGGAGAAATCCTTCCCAGCAGCAAAGAAGAATCAGATCATTCATGGCAGACACAGAACAGTAGGCAAATGTTTGAGCCTTAGTGGTTTTCTTGAAACAGGATTAGGTGGCTAGCTAAATCATTTCAGACCCAAAAGACGACAGTGTAAACCTGTGCTCAAGTGTTACTGACTTAGAGCTGAACAAAAGCTCAGTGTCTGTCTCTAGTCCAAGCATTCCTTACCTAAGATTTTCTCCACCTTCTGAGCATTCATAGTCCAACATGGACGGCTGACTGCTGACAAACCTCTTCAAATGAGACAGTTCAAGGGCTTTCCATATTTCTTCATCTGTATACTTATTAAATGGATCCAGGTTCATTCTCAATGTTCCAGAAAAGAGAACAGGATCCTGGATATAAAACCAACTTCCATTAGACAAGTGCTTTAACTGTTTTAAGTACAGATATTATGAGTTACTGCTTTGAAGTCTCCATTGCATTGCAGGTAGGCCACCTCCCAATCCCATCCACTCTGAAAATACATTACGTTATACACACTTAAAACTCAAGTTCCAACTGTGAAGATGGTTTATCCTAAATCCTGTTTTATCACCCAGCATCACCTTATAAGGTGGCAGGACACGACCACTTAAAGTATAAACAGTTTGTTTTTCTGAAAGAATTTTCTGAGTGTAACAAAGCATTTTCCTCTGTGGATAAACTATTATTTATGGTTTGCGAAGCTGTTAGAGATCCTTCCTTTATTGTGACACACAGAAACAGTACCTGAGGAATAATTGTTAACCTTGATCGAAGGTCATGGAGACCAATCTCTGAAATTTTCACACCATCAATTTTAATTTCCCCTTTTACGGCTTCCAAGATCCTAAAGAGACAGAGCGTCATGGAGGACTTTCCTGCTCCAGTTCTGCCAACAATTCCAATCTACAACAAATTGCAGGTTTAACAACAAAGCATATAGTTAAAACCACAACAAAACCCAAGAAAAAAACCCCAAACAAACTTCCAAGATTCCTCTAAGAGGTTTGACACAAGATCTGAATCTCAGAAAGAATGTAACCATCCTTCCCTAGAAACCCATGTCATAGATTGTAATGCATATATTGCCATTCCTGTAATTTCAATGATATTGCATACAAATATGTACATAGACCTAGAGCCATCCTACGTAACTTTGGGTGATTAGCTGAAGTACCCATGCTAGGAGTCCAGTCATTTGAGGACAAGAAAAGCCTTCCAGAGGAGAATTCAGACTTTATGGTAAGCATGCGTATCTCCATTCCAGAAGGTGTGTCATCCTGTCTGCTTAGTATAAAGATAATTCTCTTCTCTTTTAATAACAGCCTGTTAAGTGGAGGACCTTCCCAAGCCAATTGTTCTGTCACCAGCATGCAAAACCCAGAACCTTCTATTGAAGCATGAAGAAACAAATCTCCCAGAACAAAGACAATTTCCTGATTAAGGAAGCAAAGAATGTAATTTCCTTCCATGCCAAAAATTCCAGAGAGCACAAAAAGCTGGAATTCCTTCTCCCATCTGCACTGCCTTAGAAAAGCATTCTTGTCACTGAATTTTTGTCACTTGCACTGATTCCTCCTACATGGTGTACGGTAGCCTGCTGCCAGCCTAACTTGGAAAGTCCAGAAAATCCCATGCAAGTCGTTCTACTGCTTCCAGCGTGGAGGATGCTGGCACACCAACAGCATGGTTGTCACTGCTAGCTCCTGCAATGCCAAAGGTCTCCACCAGTGGAGCAAGCGTGCTTGTAGACCCTGTCCTCTACTCCATAGTTGTCACTGGAGGCGCAGAGCAAAGTTCTAGCAAAGACATACAGCTGGTAAACTCACCTTTTCTCCACCATGCACTTTGAGGTTTAGACCCTTCAGCACTAGATCCAGGCCCTTCCTGTACCTCACTGAATAATTCACAAACTCCAGCTCTCCCTTGGATGGCCAGTTTTCTGGGGGACTCTTGCCCTCAATGATCCAGGGAGCCTAAGGAAAACAGAAGTCAGAAATGCCTTAAATAGGTTTAAAAAAAAAATTCAAACTCAGATACAAACATTAACATTTGTGGATTACTAGAAATATATTTAATAAATCAAATCTCCATTATCAAATAAATTTATAATAATGGGGGAAAACCATGGGTTCCTAAGTGTGCACCCATTTTGGTCTTTGTTGTGAAGTTTACACAAAAAAAAAAGCCTGAGTATATAGGGCCAAATCCTCAGTGGATATAAATTTACATTTTTTCCATTAGCTGTAATAGAACACTCCCTGTTTCATGCCAGCTCAAGCTCTGGCTTATAACATGTATCATGCACCTTGTCTAGCTTCCTTTTAGCTTCCACATTAAATACTTGATCTCCAGAACCGTACACTGCAGCTCTCCTCAGATCCTCCATTTCCTAATTCTTTGTCTCCCATCACGTACACAGGGCTAACAAAACCCAGTGTGTCCACAGAGCAGCAGATTTCCCAGCACAGCTCCACCTGCCACCTTTAAAAGTTTTTGGCAACAAAGGTAGATGATTGGATGATTTTCCTGGGTTAGGCAGTACAGTGTTCCTAGAGATATTCTTCTCTCACGGGAGATGAGGACTGGTTAAGCTGATTAAATAGAAATACTATTGGAAACATGTGCATAGGCTGATAATTGTACTGCAGCTGTGTTCACTAGCAGGATCACAGCATCATCCATGCAGGTAGGACTATGTATCAAACACTTCAGACCCAATGGGAACAATATTCTGATGGTGAAACTCATCTCTGTTGTGCTATAGCCACTCACAGTAGCAGAAAATGAGATGCTAAGCACAGGCTGCATGACGGCAGTATCAATTTGAAGCTGTGATAGCATAAATTACCGTTCAGAGCGTGACATTTGTTCAGGTTAAATGATAACACTCTCAGAGTAGGAACTGTCTCTCAAGAGTCTAAAGAAAGACCGTGTAAATGCGTGCATTAAAATTTCGCCATGCTTGCTGGTGAGCATGCTTGACGCTTTGTAGCTGACCTCTGTTTCAGTTTCTGAATACTCTTTTATTCTTTCAACAGCCACAATGTTAGTTTCAAGTTCAGAAGTCATTCGGACCATCCAATTCAGAGACAAGGTCACCTTGGAGAAGACAAGGAACAAAACATCACCCACAGAGGAACAGCAGATATAATGATAACAAAAAAACCAAAACTAGACACTACTATTAAGACATGGATTCACATTAATATTACAAACGGAGTAATTACCGTTGCACTGACATTAACAGAGTTTCTGGGACAAGAAGTCTGCAAATAATCAGGTGGTCACATGAAGAAGCATATGTCTCCCACGGTGATTTAACAAATGGCCCTCAAAAAAGTTGGTTGGAAGTCATTCCCCTAGTCATGGGTCTCACTGGAAAATTGCTAACAGCAATCCTGCACACTCATGGTATCTAAAAAGCTTCTGGCAAGCGTGAGACCATTAAATCTGCTAAACTGTCCACACCTTGGGCAAGTACAGTTTATCATGCCTATTTATGAATCCTACTGATGTGCCTGTGATTACCTGGACACACCGATGTGCTACATAGCAGGCATGATGCAGGACACGTTCAGCATGCTGCTCAAATGACCTGTTCTTGGTGGGTGCACCTGACACTTCCTGAGCTTCCTGCATGCAGCTGCTGGGGATACTGGGGTGCAGTACAACTTCGATGCTCCCAAAGTGCCCTGAAGTCCTACTGCACGTAAGCTTGCTGATGGTCTGTCAGCATTCAGTGTAAATCGCTACTGTTTCCAGATGTCCCACAACTCATTTTTAGTATTTCCTTATTAACTTCAGCTTTAACAAATGCTTAAATTATTGCTAATATATCCATACCATCTACAAAAATGCAAATCCATCAATGAACAGAAAGCTATAATACATACCTGTAATGCATAAGATACTGAAAGTCCTACCAAGCCAGCATTCAGGCTGTTTTTACCAATCACAGCAAAAAGGGCAGCAAAAAGGACAATACAGTTCCCCACAAATTCAACTCGAACGCCCAACCACCTGGTAAAAAGGCAAATGTAAGCAGAGTGGTAAATGGTTGCTTGGACCAGATATGCCAACACAGGATTATTTAAGCAGAAACAAGAAGTTATATGCCTTTTTACCTGTTCGATACTATGCCAGGATAGTAACTCTTCTGATTTTCATCCATCTTCAGATCACTGATGTCTATGAAGGACTTCACTCTTCTATAGGCTCTGATGACACTGGCCCCTGATACTGTTTCTGAGAAGTGCGAGTAGATGGGAGATCTGCTCACAGACTCAAGACGCTTCAGCTGGCGGGAGGTAGCTACGTAGAATCGCTGCCATTTTTTGGAGAAAATTGAAGGGTACATGAAATACCTTCTCTTTTAATTAACAGTGAAGAATTTTTTAGGTTAAGGATTTAAAGAAGATTACTACTGATGCACTTCAACCCTCCAAAATACTCTCTATAATTAAGAAGAATTTCAGAAAAGTTTTCTTTGGTTCATTCCGCAACAGAGTACTGGGTAACTGCAATTTCTATAGACTGTAAGTTGAATTTATCTGTGTCCCTTTAAATTTAGTTAATATAGCCTAACAAAATGAATCCATTTGTAGGATCCTCATTTTCCAAGAAAATAAAACATGAATTTGCACCTCCAATTATCAGGTTTCTACTTATCTGTAAGATAAGCTTCATTTTGGCTCACAAGTCAATAAAATTGATGCTTTCTATTTTCAACATTTTAACTCCTCAATGCCTTAAAAACTTGTCAATATGTCAAATATATACACCAATATATTGAAGCGCACTGCAGCTCTATCTCTAGCAGTAGGCTTATCTGTTATTACTTAAAAGTAAAAAGAGGTTATGCCTATTTATTTCATGACCACATCTCACAGGACATTCCTTTTTCTGAGAGAAGTAAATGTTTTGTTTACATAAGCATCTAGTTACTTCAGATATTTCAATTTTTCCCCAGACTCATGTTTTTCCTAAAAAGAAACAGGAACAATGGCATAAGAGTCATTGTAATGATAGTCAGATATTTTTCCAGTTACCTGAACAAAGAAGTACAGAATTGCAAGCGGAACTATAACCACAGCGAAGAGCGGAGTACTCGCTATAATTACAATCATTGTTGATAAAGAGGTGAAGAATGTTCCGAGGAACATCAAGATGGTTGGTGGGATTACTTCGTCGATCACATAGATGTCCTTTGAAAAGCGGTTGATGATTCGGCCGGTTGGGGTGGTGTCATAGAAGGACTGCGGGGTGTGAAGTTTGTTCTCCAGCAGCGCCGCATGGAGCGTCCGGGCTGCATTAATGCCTCCCATGGCCAGAGTAAAGGAGCAGATGAGTACTATGAGGCCTAACAGGTGAGGAGGAGACATGTAACCAGTGAACATGATGTTCCCGATTTGCAGATCTTTGGCTCTCAGCAGTTTCTGTTGTGCTAGAAGCTTTTTTTCCTTTACTATATTCCCTGTCCACCCTTCTCTTACCATGCACATTAGCACTACGGCATTGCAGTCACTGCTGCCTAAGGCACAGGAGCATGTCCTGTAGGATTTCACCACACTGTCCACGTAAGACAGATGCACAACTATCTTCTCGCTGCCTTCCGCAAACCTCCATGAAGTTCTAATGCTACAACTTCACGTCAACCCTTCAGTCTCTTCTGCACCTAAGTTTTCATGTTTTCTCTCCAACTTACCTCTCTCAAGCTTCCATGTCATCTGTTAACTCCAAGGGCTTCACAACAAAATTAAAGTGTTGGGCTGAGCTCAGACTTTGTAGCTCCAGGTTACATTACTTCCTTTGCTTAGGATAGAATTTGGGCGACAATTTTGGGCCACCAGCAACTGGTGCCCTGGCTTTCCCACTTAAGCCCTCTTTACTAAGCATTGAGACATCATGATTTTATCTGGTCTCACCTTGCAAGAGGCCCAAGGCAGCATAGACTCCAATTCGCATGCTTGTGTTGTGCTGAGTCCCGTTTATCACCGGCTCGTTGGTCCAGTCACTGAGCCACACATTGGCCCCAATGGCAGCAGCATTTTGACAGCAATATAGGAAACATATCACTGAAGAAATGACAGGGCTGACAGCCTTCACGTATTGCCAGAACACCGTTAGCTTTACCTGCAAAATCACACACCAAAGCTGGTTTGTACAACTTATACAATCAGGAGTTTAGACAGAAGAAGAGAAAAGGTTTGTCAGAGGAACTGCTAAGTTCAAAACTGCCCAAACTCTAACATACTACAGAGAATGTTTCATCTGCCTGAGCTCCACATCAGGGCAATGACTTTCAAAACAAGTCAGAAACTTCTCTGAAATACTCTTTTCCTCCATTTTGAGGAACTGTATTTTATTAGTTTTGTGGGGTTTTAGTTTTTAAGACTATGCCAGAGGGGGAAAAAAAAAAAAAGGAAAAGAGGCTGATCAAATAGCAGCAAAGGATGGGTAACAAGAACAGGAGCCAAGTTTTTCAGGCAAAAGAAGCAACTTGGCAGGCATGTTGAGCTCAGGACTACTTTAAATGGCCTATTTAAGGAAAAGTGCTGAATATGCCTCCATTCAGGTGTCTTTACAGCAGCTTAAATGAGGTACCAAATGCTAGTGCACCCCAACAGGAACATAAACAGATGATGCTTGTGGCAAAAAGATGCTATCTCTAACGTAGTGCAAAAAGGCAGAGAAGTAAAAAAGACACTCAGGACAAAACTCAGTCTCTAAAAAAGCCTAAGAAGGAATAATTAAAAGAACAGGTGTTGTTGATTAGGGACTTTGAAAGCTAAAATAATCCACAGAAACAGTTCATTACACATCGGTGCCATGGACCATGTATGTACATCAGACTAAACAGGACACACTGAGCCTTCTGAACTGGAGGGAAGGGGCTTGCTTTAACAAAACTTCCCTGCTCCTATTCCATCCACTGCTCCTTTCTGTCCCTTTCTTTGACTTTTGTATTCCCATCTTCTCTTTTTTTCCTCTCCTCTCTTTTTCCCTGTTCCCATTTCACTCCCTGGCCCTGCTCGGGGACAGTACAGCCCCTTTTGTACCTATAAGCATAAAATGTTCTCAAAGATGGGGTGGTGGGTATCACTTAGACAGAACAGATCTGCTGGCACATGGCAGCCAGCTGGCACTGGCTTGTATAACCCACTGCTGTGGTTCATCAAATAGCCAGTGCTGCAGCTGGACTCAACAGCAGCCAAACAGTTTAAAGACCAACAGTGCTGAAAGCTCTGCAATGCAAAGACGGGGATGATGGAGCGCAGTGCTACGTGGTATTTTTTTTTTCTTCTGTCCCTAAGCACATAGCCCTTGCCAGGTGCAGAAAGCTCTGCCAAAATCCCACATTTGAATGATCAGTGGCCACCAGATTAATGCCCAAAACCTGCAGTCATAATTTATACAACACATTTAACAGAACTGGATCAAATGTAAAACTAAAAATTATTTTTTCAAACAGAAAAAAACAATGTAGAAAAAGGGAGGGGGGAATCAAACCATACCGTTCCCGTTTCAGTGGTTTCAGCCTGAATAAGTTTCTCGTTAGGATTTTTTCTTGGCAGAGGGGGCTCTGCTGGCTTCTTTTCACAGACTCTTCGTTTCGTTGACATTTTGTTGGGACATTCTCCTCCCTCAGAAGATATTACACTAAGTTGCCTAGTCAAAACAAAAGAGTCATTAGGAGAAAAAGGCCATATTGTGGCAGTGCTAAGGCAAGACTGGGATGCAGCAGATTGGACTTATTCCCAGCTCTTCTGCTGAGTTCCCATGCCAGCCTCACTCACAGCTATGGGCGCTTGTACCACTCCTCTGAATGTTCAGTGATGTTCAGTGATGCCAGAAATATAGTTCCTAACAAAGGCTGTGGCAGGGCCTAGGCTCTTTGTTAACGGCCTTTAGAGGCTTCATCACAAGATGGACATTTCAAAGCCAACCCGTGAGCTTCTCTGTTTCCACATTAACAGTAGCTGGACAGCATCTATGGGTATGGTTATGAAAACTTTTAAAGATTTCCAAGATTCCCAACGGAAAGGCGCAATGCAAAGGGTTTATTCACCATGCAACTGGTTGCAGTTTAGTGTTGTGGTGGTAAACATACACAGTGGTGTTACCTGAGAACCAGACAGTTGCCTTAAGAAATTGGTTCAGTTCAGATTAAAAACAGGATTGCAGGAATAGATGTTTGATCTTCTTTGCATGTTCTTTCACATTTATTTTCAAAAGGACACTAAACCAATTTATTTATAAGAGGAAACTAAAGCCCAGACTGAGAAGCAGTATGTGACTAACATCTTTCAGATGTGTTTCACCCCAGACACAGACTATAAACACATGAACCTCATGTTTACCTAAGAAAGTGCTTGCGGACCTCGTTCGTCACTGGTTCGTTATCTGCTAGATCAGTGTGGATGCTGAGGGTGTCTTCAGCTAGAAGGACTTCCTCCTCCTCCAGCACTGCAAGACAAGATCACACCTCAGATTTTCTGCTGCATAAAGCAGAAAGCACAGAAAACGGTGGCTATACAAAGTGAGAGTCATGAAAAAACAATACAACAGCAGGAAAATCATAGTGCATAAACTCCCCCATAGTTTTGCTTACATCCCTTACATCACTTCTCCTAGCTAAATTGCAAAGATCTGGAGAGGCAGGTTGGCTGCCAGATGCATTTACATCACGTTCCTTTAGTGCATCAGAAATGTGAAGCACTGGTGTTATAGTTGGTTCTAGCTAAATTCACTTATAGGGCATGCTCTAGGCATGATCTTGGGATGGGGGAGTCATGTCAGGAACTACTGCAAGCCTCTGTTGTTGCTAGAAGATGTCGTGCATGTTCCTCTCTGCCTGCCTGGAGAGAAGCAGTGTTGCAATCAAAGAGCGTGGGAACATTATCACGCAGAGGAAACATTTACCGAAATACTTTAATCTTGTATCATTGTATCAGAATCAAACCAAGCTGAAAAGTAACCCAAGATTAACATGTCATTTGACCTTTGCTATATGAAAAAAACAACAACATATAAACAGAGAAAAAATACCAGACTCTGGGTAGCCCCTTTGATAGCAAGCCCAATTTGTTCTTGGCCACTCCGTTTTTTTCTTGACCTTGCTAATTGTAAAATAAATTCCCAACTTTAAAATAATTTCTAACACAAGAATTGTTTTTTTCTAGGACAAACCACATGATTTGAAATAAATTTGTTAAAACATTTGGAGATCAGCTGTCTCCAAAGGGGAAAAGGATTCTCACCCATGAGTTGGCGGGACTCATCGAGAGGGCTTTAAACTAGGTTCAAAGGGGGAAGGAGATATAAACAGGCTCGCTGGTGAGGAGCCCAGGGGCAGCGTGGCAATGTTGGGGGCGAAATCGATAGCCCATCTCAAGTGCATCTACACCAATGCACGCAGCATGGGCAACAAACAGGAGGAGCTGGAAGCCCTTGTGCAGCAGGATAGCTATGACTTGGTTGCCATCACAGAAACATGGTGGGACAAGACTCATGACTGGAGTGCTGCACTGGATGGCTATAAGCTCTTCAGAAGGGATAGGAAGGGAAGGAGAGGTGGTGGGGTGGCTCTGTATCTTAGGGAGTGTTTTGACTGTATAGAGCTTGACAGTGGTGATGACAAGATCGAGTGCTTATGGGTAAGGATGAGGGTGAAGGCCAACCAGGCGGATGTCCTGTTGGGAGTCTGCTATAGACCACCCAACCAGGATGTAGAGATAGATGAAGTGTTCTACGAGCGGCTGGCTGAAGTCTCGCAATCGCTAGCCCTTGTTCTTGTGGGGGACTTCAACTTGCTGGACATCTGCTGGAAATACAACACAGCAGAGAGGCAACAGTCTAGGAAGTTCCTGGAGTGCGTGGAGGGTAACTTTCTGACGCAGCTGGTAAGCAAGCCTACCAGGGGAGGTGCCTCACTTGACCTGCTGTTTACAAACAGAGAAGGGCCTGTGGGAGATGTCGTGGTCTGAGGCCATCTTGGGCTTAGCAACCATGATATGATAGAGTT